CCTCATCTGAGCTCCGGTGTCCCAAAGGGGTGCTAACCTTGTACAGGGCAGCAGGGGATCAGTTTGGGTGTCTGCACATTGATGCTCCACAGCAGGTACTGGGTTTCCCCTAGATCCTGGAGTACAGCTCGTATCCTGTTGGACATCTGCTCTGGCGTTAGAAATCGCTTCCTTATGACATCAGGTTCCAGCTGTGCTCCGTGACCCAGATGTGCTCCTGTCCAGATGCTGAAGCTCCCAAACTCCAGGTGTTGCGTCCATGCCCTGAGAGCTGTGTGATAACACAGCCCGTGTTTGCAGCCCCTGCTGCTCGTGAGCTGTTCTGTGGCTTCCCTGACGTTCTCCCCATTCTTTTGTTTCTGTTTTTGTCTGAGCTTTCACATGTGAATGTTTGAGCTTGTTTATCTGTTTCAGCTGAAAAACTCCACAAGCTCCAGCAAAATGCTAATAAGAAGCATTAGCTGCAGTTAATTGAACTGCTTCTATGATCCTCCATAATTATCTCTTGGTACAGCACCTACCCTGAGAGAGGCTGTCTGAGAAAGGCGGAATGGATGCCAAAGATAATCACACACAAGATCTGGGGAAAGCATTTAATTTTCTTACCCAAATTAAGATTTTTTTGGATTGATTACCTCACTAAATATTTGCTGTCGAGAGCAAACTAAGCTGGTGCTGGTGGGAACTGCAAAGGGAATGACGGGTGCTTAATTATTTACAGACTTGCTTGGCTAGCTGAGCGTGCGCCAGGAATGCAAAGAGCCGTCGCTGGGAATCTCATCGGAGATTTTTCACCGGGAGTAAGGAGCAAGCAGTGACAAGGGGGAGCGTTCTCCCGAGTCAAAATGCTGAAACTTGCCCCGTGATTAATTGAGCTGTCACCGGGGCTTGATTACCACATCCAGAGCGCGCCTTCCCCCAGTCTTTCCCCAAACTCTCTGAGTTTGCAGACAAGGAGCATATATTGGGTGTGCACAACCTTTGAGGTCAGCAGCTGCAATTGCTTGTGGTGCCTTTAGAAATCACTGTTAATAAGTGCACAAGCTTTGTCCTAACCAGGCTTGTGGGTCTGTTACTGCTGCAGCCCTTAGCTGAGTTGGGTGTGCTGCGTGCTCAGCGTGTGTGGCTGACTCCTTGCCTTGCTTGTCCTGATCCTTTCATGGATCCCTATAACTCACAGAGACAGCTCGTAACAATTAAAACCAGCTTTATAAGCTGTGTGGAGATGATGCAGATTGTCACAACATTTTTATGAGTGCGGTCCAGGAGAGCTGCAGTCACAAGGCATACAATAGGCTTGCAAGTGAAGCAAAATCCATGTATTCTTCAAAATGGGAGAAGGAGAATTTGGCAGCAGTAGCTGTTAATAAGCAGTGAAAAATGGGTTGCCGTTTAGGAAGCTCAAATGTCAATGAAAAGCTATACAGACAAGCAGAGCTAGCTGTGCAAATGGTTTCATACACAGATATATAGATATAGAATTTAAAACATCTATATAAGAAAAGGCATCCTTGCAGAAGCATTGCATATCTCACTGTTTGCAGATGCTAAAACTGTTGTTAAAGATCTGGAAAAGTCTTGGGTTGAAATGTGTGTTTAGGAAGGAGCAGGATAACGTCGTCCTGAATTCATGGCAAAGTAGAAACCGTATGAACCCCAGGCTGCAGTCTGGGAGGGCTGTGGGGGAGTCATTCCCCTTTCCACTGAACTGGGGCTGGTAATCATTGAATCACAGCGAGGTTTGGGTGGAAGGGACCCCAAAGCCCCCCAGCCCAACCCCCATGGGCAGGGACACCTCCACCAGCCCAGGCTGCTCCAGGCCCCGTCCAACCTGGCCTTGGGCACTGCCAGGGAGGGGGCACCCACAGCTTCTCTGGGCAACCTGGGCCAGGGCCTCCCCACCTCCCAGGGAGGGATTTCTGCCCAAGATCCACTCTAAATCTGCCCTCTTCCAGTTTAAAACCATCACCCCTTTTTGTAAAGTAGGGAGGTGTGAACCATCCCAAGGATTTGCACTGGCAGTGCCTGATTGTGAGGTGAAGGGAGCTGTGCCCACCCCCCTGGATGGAGCTGGAGCAGCGCTTGGCTGCCAAAGGAGGAGGAAAATTCCCATTTCTACAGAAATCAAGCCCCTGGGAAGTCGATTTTTGTGGAGCTGCGGCACTGGAGCTATGGCCTTCACCTGCTGAGCTCTGCCTGGGTGGGAGCTGGATGTGCCCTTGGTGCTTTGACCCCCCCCAGCACATCCAGGACCTGAGGAGTCTGTGGATGAAAAGCAACAACTCCCAGGCCGCTGTGTCCGTCTGTCCCTGGATGGCACTGCCATAGCCCCTGATTTCGGGTCCTGCCATGGACGACTCCAGCTGCTGGGGAAAGGAAACAACTGGAGCAGCTGGGAAATGCTGAACCCCTCAGGAAACACTGGCAGCAGCAGAGGATGAGGACTGGTGAGGGGCTGGGGGGGTCTCAGCATCTGCTCCCCCCCCACTCACCATGGTGTCCCCAGGCTCTTCCCAGGGGCTGGTGCCTGGTGTCCTTGCAGAGCGGTGGGGACGTGGGCCTGAGCTGTGTTCCTGTCACATCCCCTTTTGATAATTGGGTTATTTTTCAATGTGGGGGGTTATTTTATTGTACAATCGCTTGGGGAGGACAGGAGCCAAACCTCCTCTCCCTCGGGGCTGGTTTTGGGCCCAGGGCTCTGTCGCTGCAGGAGTCGCAGAGGTTTATATGTAGCAGAGATTTTACAACAAGGTGTTTTCCCTTTTTTCAAAGCTCTGTCTCGTTTCTGCCTCCCCCCAATACCATGGCCAGGGTCACACATCCCCATCCTGGGCCTTGCAGTGGAGCGTGACCCCCCAAAAAAGCCTCATTTCCCCATGGTCTGGTCCCTTGGTCACGCGTGGCCGCGTCAGTGCCCCGTGCTGGGGGTGATGAGTCCACGGTGCAGCCCTGGGCTGAGTCAGCAGTCGGGGGGAGTGAGCTCAGGCCTAGGGACCCCTGTGGTGATGGGTTGACCCCTGGGGTGATGTGGGTGCAGGTTTCAGGTGGCTCTGGCCCTCACCCGTGCCTCAGTGCTGCTCCCATCCCCTTAACTCTGCCCCTGGGCTGCCCCATCCTCACACCTATGGCCTGGTGACGATGGTGTCCCCAGCGTGGCTGCTCTGACACAGGGGACCGATGCCACCACGTCACCCTGGGACCTTCCCCACAGTGACCAAGGATTTCTGACTCGTCCCAGTGGAGCCATGTGACGGGGCTGCAGTCACCCCAGAAAGCACCATCTGGGTCCGTGTCCCCATGGTGTCACTTCTCGAGGTCAGGGCTGAGCCTGGTTCCCACCAGTGCCCCCAGGACTGGGAATGGGGGTGGCAAGGGACCACCTGGGGACATTAAGGACAGCGCTGAGGTCCTGTCCTCTGCTCCAGATGTCACCCAGCGACCCTGAGGTGCTGGGGAGGGGCTAATCCTGCCATGCAGGGAGCAAAGTGGGTGCTCGGCCCTCCCTGGGGTGCTGGGGGGGGCAGTTGTGGGGCTCCAGGGAATGAGGCAGGAGAGTGACCCTGGGAGTGGGCTCTGGGACAAGGAGATGGCCCCAAGGTGGGGTGCTGGGGCAAGGGGACATCTCTGGGGGAGGAGGGTGTCCCTAAAATGGGATGCTGGGACAGGAGAGTGTCCCCAGGGTGGTGTCCTGGGGCAAGAGGACATCCCAGGGGCAGGAGGGTGTCCCTAGAATGGGATCCAGAGCCACTGGCCCCTGGCCCGGCGCTGACTCAGCTCAGCCCCACAGCACCACGTGAAGCTGGGAGGGAGCCACGGCTGCGTCCCCCCTCCTGTCTCCTCCTTCCCCCCACCTCTGTGCAGGCTCTGCCAACATTTTCCAGCTTCCTCTCGACTTCCTCAATCCAGCGCCATAAAAGAGCTGCGCCCGCGGCCCCCGCATCCCCTGGCCTCGGCTGCGCCATCCTCCCCCCGACACCGCAATGCTGGGGTGAGTGGCACAGGACGGGGTCCTGTGAGGGGACAGGGACCTGATGGGGCATCACTGGGGCGGTTGGGTGGGTTTTTCCTCAAGGAAATGGACCCCAGTGGGAGCTGGGGGGGAAGTAGGGTCCTGTGTGGCAGCGTTGGGACCCTTAGAAGTGCAAAAGGGGAAACTGAGGCACGGAGCATCAAGCAGGGCTGTGGGCTGCGTCCCTGTTCTTGCTCTGCCCTGGGGGTCTGGTGAGAAAATGAGTGCTGGGAGGAGTGGGGAGAGCAAGGGAGGGGGCAGGATGCTGGGGTTCCCCCCCTGTGCCCCCAAAACTCGGTTTCCCCGTGGCCTGGGGATGCTGGGAAGGTGCCAGTGGGGTAATGGGAACCAGCTGGCCGGGTCGCGTGATGCCTGTGCCTCTCCAGCACTGCCTGCAGCGGAGCCCCGGCCCAAAAACAGGTTGGGAAGGGGGTCCAGACCCCAAAACAGGGGGGGTTTCTGACCCAAACCCAGGATGGGCAGGGGATGCTGGGTGCCATGGCCTGGTACTGGGGGGTACAGGGTTCTGGTGTCTCCCAGCCCATTAACGGGGTGGCTGCGGGGTCCCAGTCCCTCATGGCTCACACTGGGGTGGGCATAGGGTCCCCTGTGGCCTGGAAAGGGTGCAGATGAGGGGTCCTGGTCCCCATAGCCCAGCACTGGGTTGGACACAGGGTCCCAGTTCCCTGCACCCTGACACAGTGGTGGGCGCAGGGCCCTGTTCCCATCCAGGCCATTCACAGCTTAGTCCCTGTCCTC